GAACATCACATTATACTGTGTGTGTGTGTGTGTGTGTGTGTGTGTGTGTGTGTGTGTGTGTGTGAATTTTAAAGGTAGGTAAATAAATTAGGAAGAATATGGGCAATATTATCATCCCCATATTTCATACTAGAAACTAAGAATTAGAGTATTTAAGTAATTTGTTTAAGATTCAGCACGTGACCTAAATTATAAAATAGAAATCCTAATGATTAACTCCAGACTTCATGTTTGTTTGCATGTCTACATATGACAACAGTTATCAGCCCATGACTAAAATACAATCATATTCAAGAGTTAATTCTTCTAACTTTTCAATTTTCATCAACATTCAAATGTTTTATCAGAGTTGTTAAGACAGATTCAATCTGACAGAATTGACCTTCACAACTCCCCCTCTTTCTACCCATCTTTGTGATGGAGATGCTAACGTTAATGTAGGGACCTAAAGTGGACATCAGAGAAGAAAGTACAGGAAGAGAACAGGGTGAGTCAGACATTAGCCCGTCAGAGTCTCCCTGGTGGATTGAATGGGAGGATGTCAGGTCTGAATTGATCTGAAGAATGAACCATAAATTGTTTTTGTAGGAAATTTGTTTTACTGTTTTTGAGACAATGCAGAAACTTAGATTGCGGCTGAAAGTTACAAACTAGCTGCGTCCTAATGGGACTGCTTTTATTGAGTAGAGAGGAATGCTTTGTAATTAACATACCAGCCACTTGTAAATTGGTATGTGTAAAATGCTTGAGAACCTCTGCACAAGCCCTTTAATATTTTGAAGTTATTCTCAAAGAAATTGCATTTGTTTTTGTCATTTGAATCTTTGCCAAAGAAAGTCCCATGGAACAGAGGTGGATTTCTGCCTACTCTGAAAGGATTATATACACTGTTTGTTTTAATGACACATTAGTGAGATTATTTTATATTAGCACTATTTTATTTCCCAGTAAGGAACATTCGAAGCATAAACTCTTTTATGTTGAAATTATGAGAGCCTGTTGAAGAGGTCAAAGTAGAATTCACCTATCAAGCTTTTACCACATGAGCTCTTTCCTGATTCAAACTTGCTTTGTGAAAGGCGTCCTCTATGTTGATCCCGAAGAAGGATGCCCTTCTACTCCAAATCACAGGGTAGTTTGCTGGGTACTCTACTGGGTGCAAGTGATGGAACATAACAAAAAACAATTTTAAAAAGGAAGTGGGTGCTTACTGCCTCCCATAACAAAATCACAGGAAGTCAAATGTACAGTTGACCTTTAGATCCATGGTGTCAAAGATGGAAGGATATATCATATTTTCTCCCTCCCTCCCTCCTCTCTCTCTCTCCATATATATGTATATATATATGAATTTATTCAGATAATGAACCATAAATTGTTTTTGTAGAAACTTGTTTTATGGTTTTTGAGACAATGCAGAAATTCAGATAGGGGCTGAAAATTAATGTATGATGAAAACGAAAGCCATAGGTGTCCACTTCCTCCTTCTGCTTCTTGGGAATTAGCTCCTATTTCTGATAGCTGTGAAGCCTCAATAAATTCAGATACCAGAAGCCTAAGAAATAAATTATCTAAAAGTAATGTGTGAACTTTGTTTAGAGTCTGAGTTAACAAATTGATACAAAATACTTAGAGACAATAAAAATATTATGGTTATGTTTTGTCAATAATGGTATTATTATATATGCTTTTAAAAGGCAGAGGCAGGCAGATCTCTGTGAGTTCAAGGCCAGCCTGGTCTACATAGTGAGTTCCAGGACAGCTGGGGCTACAGGGAGACCCTGTCTCAAAAAGACCAAAAAAAAGCCAAAACAAAACAAAAAAGTCCTTACATGTACTGAAGTACTTACAGATGAAATTATATAATGTGTGGGAATGTGCTTCTAAATAATCCAGTATTGAGTATGGGTAGCTAGCAAGTAGGCAGATAGATGAATCCAGGTTTCAATGAGTTCAAATTGTTGGAGACAGGTGAGTGTAAGTGGTGGTTTATTTTATTAGTCTATCCATTTTTATATTTAATAATAAATAAATTTTATATTTATTTATTTTAAATGTTTTAAATAAAATATTCTTTTAAAAAGGATTCCACAGGTCTGGAGAGTTGGTTCAGCAGTTAATAGCACTGGCTGCTCTTGCAGAAGACCTAGGTTCGATTCCCAGAACTCATATGATGCTAACAACTGACCATAATTCCAGTTCCAGGAGAATTCAACTCTTTCTCCTGACCTCTGTGGGCATTGCATGACATGGGTGCACTTACATACATGCAGGCAATGCAATCATACACATAAAATGGGAATAATAAATAAACTATTTTTAAAATGATACCAAAAAGAATATCATTCAAACCAGAATGAATGTTAGAAATTCACAGGTGTGAGGAGTTTCCAATAAATGGGCCTTCTCATCAGATGTGTCTACTCTGATGACCCTGAAGGCCCCAGCTTGCCCTAAGGGAGCCCAGCTCCCCTTCTCTGAAGTAAATCAGCAGTTCCACTTAGCAAGATGACACCTGGGACCTCAGAAATGGAGCTAGGCAGGGGTGGGAGGATGCTGCAGGAACGGAGGGTGGAGTGGTGGTGAGTTTACCACTTGAATCATCTTACCAAACTGGGTACAGAGTTACAGGAAGGGACTACTGCTATTGATGAAAATGTAGTGGTGGCTGAGAAGTACTGGAGGAGGGAGCCTGTAGCATTTGTCACTTAAGAAAAGACAGCTAAACAGCTAAATAATGCCCAATTCCTTGACCCATGGCGAGCATCAGCCCATGATCCAGGGTTTGGATAACCTGCCACAAGAGTGCAAATTAACATTTTCAAGAGTGGGCTTTATTTGTCTTTGTGTATATAGATATGATTAAGATAGAGTGGACCATATGCAGATTTTTTCTTCTTAATTTATTTTATTTCATTTCATATCCTTTTTGTAATTTTTATTGAATTTTTGTGTATTTCATGCATAAAATCATCTTTGCATCCCCTTCCCCTTCCCCTTTGGCATCCCCTCTAGTCCTCCCACTGGTGTTCATACATTCTGTTATTTGTATTAAGGCCTATTATGAAAAATTAGTGTCCCGAGGTGTCCCTCAGTGTAAGTTCATCCACCGGGGTTTAGTCAGCCTATCTAGAGTCTCTCCCTTTAAGAAGATCAGCTCTTCCTCACCCAGCAGTAATCAGCTACCAAAAATTCTTCGACTAAGATTGGGGCCTACTCTTCATTTCCACAGTTCTCTGCTGGGTTTTTGTCTGCTTGAGTTTGCATGGGTCTTGTGCATGCTGACACCATTGCTGTAGGTTTGTGTGAGAAGGGTCCCAGGCGTCTGTAGGACCATTTCCGTATGGTCATGCACCTCTTCCCTGGTGCTTACAATCTTTCCATACCCCTCTTCCACAATGGTCCCTGAGCCCTGGGTGGGTGAACCTCAGTACAGGAGTCCTGTCCAAGGCACTGAGTGTCCACACTCTGCACACTCTCACTCTCTGCTTTTGGCCATTTGTAGCCTTTTGTGCTCCTGATCCTCTATTGCATGAAGGAGCTTCATTGATGAGAATTGGAAGATGCATTAGTGTTCTCTTCATCCCTTGTTCTATGTTCCATGAGTCTTAAGTGTAGAGGTTGCATCCTAGATGTGCCACTTAGGCTTGGGAAATTCACAGACAATATCTGTGTGTGACCAGTGGTGTAGCTCTGTAATAATTTCTACCATGTGCAGATATTTTTAAATATTTTATTTATTATTTTTATTTCATGTGTATGAGTATATTGTCTACATGCATGTTAAGTGCACCCATGACATGCAATGCCCAGAAGAAGGCATCAGATCCCCTGGAACTGGAGTTATGGATGGTTGCTAGCCACCATGTGGGTGCTGGGAATTGAACCTGGGTCCTCTGCAAGAGCAGTCAGTGCTCATAACTGCTAAGCCATCTCTCCAGCCCCACCATGTTTAGATTTACATGTAAAGTCACAATAAGTACTTGATAGCTCTCTTAAAGTCTTTAGTTTGTCTGTAGTATGAGAATAGACATAGCTCTTGTCATCACTAAGCTGCCTTATACTTAGAACAGTAGTAAATGTTAGCTGAATATGTGTGTAATTTGTAAACTCAACTTCAAGGATCTAGCATCTATTTCAGAGATGAGTAAACCAAGAGAAAGACTGTATTATAGGACTGATGCATATTGAAGCTCACACTTTTACTCATCAAAACCCTTCCTTGGAGGCTGGAGAGATGGCTCAGTGGTTAAATAGGCCCTTGCTGCCAAGTCTGATGACCTGAGTTCCATTCCCAGAACCCACATGGTTGAAAGAAGAGAGAACCATTTCCCAGAAGTTGTCCTCTGATAGCCACACTTACACCTTGGCACATGCATACCTGCACACATGTACAGAAAACCACACACACACACATATACATATACAGAATAAATTTTAAAAAAAATTTTTAAACACCTTGGCAAGCCGGGTATGGTGGTGCATGCCTTTAATCCCAGCACTTGGGAGGCAGAGGCAGGTGGATCTCTGAGTTCAAGGCCAGCCTGGTCTACATAGTGAGTTCCAGGACAGCTGGGGTTACAGAGAGACCCTGTCTCAAAAGAAAAAAAAAAACACCTTGGTAAGAGAAATATTTTGAATGTGTATTTAGAGCTGGCAAAGGAAAAAAAAAAAGACAATAGCTATAAAACTCGCAATGCCATCTGGTGGATATTACTATGTCATAGCTATGTTTGCATTTCCTTCCTTCCTCCCTCAGTCTCTTTATCTTAAATACTCAGCTTTCTGAGAGAAGAAAATGTTTGCTGTACATGCTGGCATTGAATGTTGGGGGATGGATGACAGACTGTTTTCTAAAGACAGTAATTCTGCTATTAGAAATAAAGCAGGGACAAGGTGACTTGTCCAAGGAGGGAAGTTTTTCCTTCTCTGGCTTTACTCCAGCTGGAAATCCTTATGGAACTTTACTAATGATTTCTTCACAATGTGATTAATAACAGGAGGATGCTGTGGAAATACGTCCGGTACCAGAATGTCCTAAGGAACATCTGGGCAACAGAATATTGGTCAAGGTACTGACTCTGAAGTAAGTATCAGCAAACACACAGCCACTACACTGATGTCCGCCTTCCCTTTTAGTAATGGAAAGAGCAGAGCTTAGCATTGGTTAGATCTGGATTCCATTCTTACCAAGCCTTTGACAACCAATTTTCTACAATATGGAAAGAAAACAGAGGTGTCTAGTAAGGGTAAGGCATACCAGGTTATTGTTAATTAATTTTCTTGCATTAAGAGAAACAACAGTGGCTGAAGACGTTGGTTAAGAGGTTAGGAGCACTGGCTACTCTTGCAGAGGACTCCATTGAGGTTCCCAGTACCCAAATGGCGGCTAATCTCCACAGACACTGCACACACATGGTGTACTTAATTACATATATGCAGGCAAACTTCTCATACACATAAAATATAAATAAATAAAAAAAATTTTAAAGAGAAACAACAGTGGGTTGGGAATGCAACTCAGTTGTTGTTTCTCTCTAGCATATATAAATTTAAGACTCCCAGTTTGATCCCCAACACCATAAATACATTGGATAAATGGATAATTATAAAAATAGCAGTAAATCCAGCATGTACTAGAATCAGCTCATAATAATTCATCATAATTCACTATACATCATCTGATGATGGACATTGCTCCCAGTTCTCTGTTCAGTGAAAATGCTGTGTTACTAACTTGAAATTTGCCATGGTCCAAATATTTGCAACAGAGAAATTCCAGATGCTACAAAGTAGAGCCTTGGACAAGTCACCTTGTTTGTGAAGCATAATGATGGGTGCAACTGAACCCCAGTCTCCTGACTGGGGACAGCAGGGAGTGATAGAGACGATAACAGCCGAAGCAATAGCAGCATACGCACTACCCCGACCCTTGCCAAGCAAATAGGCTCATTTTTGTCAACTGTCTGATTTTTTTTTTCCTGGAGGAGCTGTAAATGTGTTCTTCCTCTGTATAAGGTCCTAACTTCATAAATATTTTCTCATTTAAAAAAAAACCCACAGGACTGGAGAGATGGCTCAGTGATTAAGAATGCTGGTTATTCTCGCAGAAGACCCAGGTTTGAATCCCAGCACCCACATGGCAGCTAACAACTATCTGTAACTCCAGTCCCAGGGGATCCGACAGCCTCTTCTGGCCTTCATGGGCATTGCACGACATGGGTGCACTTACCTACAGGCAGGCAATATATGCATACACATAATAAAATTTTTTAAAAATAAGTAATTTTTTTAAAAAAAGAATCCACATAATTTAACAAAAATATGTCTGTAGCCTGTTTTCCATTTGTGGGACAATAATTTCTCATATCTATTTTAAAGCAGTTATCTGTGAACTTTTATATTATACATTTTTATTTTAAAAGTCACCCATCTTCTTTAAATGTCCATTAATCTTGTATTTGCATATGAAAATATTATCTACATTATAAAATGTGCAGAAATGAGAAAACGAGCAAGGTGAATTCTGTAGTACTTTCTTCACCCGTCCAGCACATTGTTGTGTGCTTCCCCCAGAGTGCTTGCAAACCACCCTTACTGCTGACTGCTACTTTAGAGAACTAGTTCTTCCACTCAAATCACAGACTGTTTTGAGAATAAAAGTTCTAAATGCTGAGCTGGGCATGTAGCTCAGTGGTATAAATTGTGCTTAGTGGGTGCAAGGCCCTGGTTTCATGTTGAGGACCGTGCATAAGCCAAGCAATTTCTCACACACTGTTGGGAGGATCATCTATCTCACAGTCAGTGTGTGAGAATCACTTACACAGTGCCTAGATTGTGATTAGACATCTAGACTCTACAGTCAGGGCTTTTCTTCAGCCCTAGCATCTTCTCTGGGCATTTGGGTTCTTACCTGAAGTCATTAGATCAATGGTCTAACGTGTCATTCTGATGTAGAGCCTCCCCTGGTTCTGCCTCTAAATGCACACTAACATGGCTATTCATGTTAGTGACTAGTGCTTGCTCTCTGTTGCAGTCCTTCTCACTCTAACCAATTCCTGGTGGGGAATACACAGAAATGGCCAGCCTGCAAGCCAGCTTTGTTTGAAGTAAAGGTCACAGATAAACTGTGAACATGAAAAACATGAAGAGTAAAAATTAATAACAGTATTGAAGATACACCGTACCATTGACAGTGATATGAAATATTCTGTTTATAATACTGTAGATCTTAGTCACTAGGGAATTTCCAAAAATTTATTGACAGCTATCTGTTCCTGTTTTACTTTGGAGAAATAGATGAACCCTCAAGGACACAGAAGGAATTACTCTGGTACCAATTCTGCAAATGTCTGTAGAAGCAAAAAAAAACAAAAAAAAAAAAAAGAAAAGAGTAGCAGAAAAATAGTTTTCTGTTTGGTATTTTAGGTAGGGACATCTTTTAATTTAAATTTTAATGCTGTCTTCCATAAAGCAACCTCTGCCCAGAAGAACTTCTTAGGGTTGGGACTTTGCTACACACTAAATTTAACTAAGGAGGTGGTACTGGTGCAGACTGGGGAGACCTCCCATAACCATCTCCACCAAGGGATTCTGGTTCAACAGGTCTCAGGTGGACCCAGAACTCCCACATGGTTCCCCCAAAGGCTGGGGTCTGAGAATTGCAGCTGGAGAAAACAATGGTAGAAAAAGTCCATGTTCTTTGCTCAAAAGAGGTAATTTTGCAACCTGACTGTAAAACCTCACAACTTTGTGGCCTTTGTCAAATCACTTAATTTCTCTGAACTCTGGTTTACTTGTGTAGAATGGGAGGATGATCTCTGCATTACACAGTTGTGAAGAGTAAAGGGGTTGGCATGTGTACATCACGTCACACCATAATTACAAGCAGTCAATAAATTTAAGCTTTTCTTCTCTCAATTTCCCATGCCTGGCCCTGGGGTTTTTGTTAGATAGTCTATGGTTCATTGGGAGAACATTATCACCCATGTTGCATACCTCCATTTTATATATATATGTATTATTAAGTAAGCTCACAAAGTAATGTTTCCCTATGGGTTTTTCAAATGTTCTTGGCGATATTTATCTTTCTTCTTCCCTCTTCCTCTATGTTACCCTCCCTCCCCTTCCCCAGTTAAATTTTCCCCTCCATTTTTCCCATTTCCCACTTCATAGCACCAGAGTCCTACCATCCCCCACTCTAGAGCGCCTTCTTCCCCCTCCCCCCATGGTCTCTTTCTACTTTCCTGACTTCTGCAGTTACTTGAAGTTATGTACTTACTTCTGAAGATCCGGAGCTAGGAACCATAAATAAGAAACAACATGCAGTGTAAGTCTTTCTGGATCTGGGTTACCTTACACAGTATAATGGTTTCTAGTTCTAGACATTTTACCTATAGATTACACCTTTACAGCTAAATAGAATTCCATTGCATACATGTACCACATTTTCTTTATCCATTCATCAGTTGAAGGACATTTAGGATGTTTCCATTTCCTAGTTATCATGAGAAGAGTGGCAATTGAGTTCTTTGGATATATGCCAAAGCATGGTATAGCTGGATCTTATGGTAGATCCACTTCTATAGCTTTTTGAGAATTTTCCACACTGATTTCCATAGTGGCCAGACCAGTTTGAAATCCAACAACAGTGAATGAGGGTCATTTGTTGTCACTTTCCCCCCGCCTTTTTAAAGATGTTTTTAATTGTTTATTTTTATTTTATGTGTATGAGTGTTTTGCCTGTATGTATGTAAGTGCACCACATGCATGCAATGCCCACAGTGGCCAGAAGAGGGTGTCAAATCTCTTGGAACTGGAGTTATGGACAGTTGTTAGTCACCATGTGGGTGCTGGGAACTGAACCTGGGTCCTCTACAAGAGCAACCAGTGCTCTTAACCATTGAGCCAGCTCTCCAGCCCGGTCAGTTGTTTTCTTGATCTTAGTCATTCTGACTGGGGTAAAATGAAATTGTAATTTTAATCTGCATTTCCCTGATTGCTAAGGATGTTGAACACTTAAAGATATTTCTTAGTCATTTTTATTTCGTCTTTTGGGAACTCTGTTGAGATTCATTGCCCATTTCTAATATGGTTATTTGTTTTCTTGATTCCTTCTTTTTTGAATTCTTTGTGTATTCTGAATATTAATCCTCTATTGGATAGATAACTGGTTGGAGCTCCAGTGGCACAGTTGGTTAGCATGCAGTACTTACACCAATGTAAAGCTGTCAAAGATTCTTTCCTTCCCTGTGGGCTTCCTTTCTACTTAGTTGATTGTTTCCTTTGCTGTACAGAAGCTTTTTAGTTTGATGAAGTCCTATTTGTCAATTGCTGACCTTAATTCCTGAGGAAACAAAGTCCAGTTTAGAAAGTTTTTTCTTGCACCTATGTCTTGTAGGGTACTGCCATGTTTCCTTCTAACAGTTTCAGTATTTCAGGCTTCACATTGAGGTCTTTGATCTATTTGGAATTGATTTTTTTATGTGGGATGATAGGTATGGATCTAATTTCATTCTACATGTGGACATGCAGTTTTCCCAGAACCATTTGTTGAAGATGCTGTCTTTCCTCCAGTGTGTATTTTTGGCATCTTTGACAAATATCAGGTGATTATAATTATGTGACTTATGTATGCTGAACCATCCATGCATCTCTGGTATAAAGCCAACTTGATTGTGGTATGTGATCTTTTTGATATATACCTTTATTCAGTTTGCAAGTATTTGACTGAGAATTTTTGCATCTATGTTCTTCTGGAATAGTGGTCTGTAGTTTTCTTTTTGGTGGTGGTGGTGTCTTTATCTGGCTTTGGTATTAGGGTAATACTGGCTTCATAGAAGGAGTTTGGAAGTGCTTCTTCTGTTTCAATTTTAAAATATTTTATTTATTATTTCTATTTTATGTGTATGAGTGTACTGCCTGCATGTGTATAAGTGCACTGCAGTCATTCAATTGCCTGCAGAGGTCAGAAGAGAGCATTGGAGTCCCTGGAACTGGAGTTACAGATGGTTGTTAGCTGCTGTGTGTGCTAGGAATTGAACCTGGGTCCTCTGCAAGAGCAGACAGTGCTCTTAACTGCTGAGCCATCTCTCCAGCCCCTGTTTCAATTCTTAAAATAATATAAGTATTAGTTGTAATTCTTCTTTGAAGGTCTGGTAGAATCTGCTGTGAATCCATCTACACCAGGGCTTTTTTTAGTCAGAAGGCTTTTACTTAATGTTTCGATCTTATTTATTATGGGTCTGTTTAAGTTGTTGATCTCTTCTTGGTTTAACTTTGGTGATTAAGATGAACCTAGAAATCCATCCATTTATTTTAGGTTTTCTAACTTAATGAAGTATAGGTTTTTAAAGTATTCCCTTATAATATTTTGAATTTCTTTGCTGTCTATTTTGATGTTTCCCTATTATTTCTGATTATGTTAAGTCTTTTAGTTAATTGGTTCTTAGATTGGTTAATTCTTTGTATTGTTTTCTTTGTTTCTATTTCATTAATTTCCACTCTCAGTTTTATTATTCTTGTCAACTGGATTTGGGTTTGATTTGTTCCTGTTTTTCAAAATTCTTGAGTTGCATCATTAAGTCATTTATTGTGCCCTGCGCATACGTGTTTTATTAATGTAGACCCTTAGTACTATAAATTTCCCTCTTAGGACTGCTTTTAATGTGTTCTACAGGTTTGTTGGGGATGTGTTTTCATTTTCATTTAATTCCAGGAATTTAAATTTTTTTTTCATGATTTCTTCTTTGACCCATTCATCATTTAGTAGTGTTATTGAATCTCATGAATTCCTTTAATTACTAGAGATTCTTTTGCTACTGATTTCAAGTTTTATTGCATTGTAATCAGATATGATATACAGAGGTATTTCAGTGTTTCTGTATTTGTTGAGGTTTGTTTTGTGCCCCAATATTGGGTCTATTTTAGAGAAATTTTCATGGCTATTCTTTAGTGCTTGGGTGGAATATTCTATAGGTATCTGTCATGTCTATTTGATGTGTACTGTCACTTAATTCCAATATTCTCTGTTTACTTTATTATTTTAATATTTTATTTATTATTTTTACTTTATGTGTATGAGTGTTATGCCTGCATTTATGTACATGCACCCGTGTGGTGCAATGCCCACAGTGGACAGAAGAGGCTGTCAGATCCCCTGGAACTGGAGTTACAGCAGTTGTTAGCTGCCATGTGGGTGCTGGGAATCAAACCTGGATCTTCTGCAAGAACAGTCAGTGTTCTTAACCACTGAGCCATCTCTCCAGCCCCTTATTTTATTTTTTTTATCCAAATGACCTGTCTGTTTGGAAAATGAGGATATTGAAATCACCTACTATTACTGAGTTGAGGTTAGTCTGTGTCTTGAAGTCTAGTAGTATGCTTTTTGTAGAACTGGGTGTGCCAGAGTTTGGTGCATATGCGTTTAGGATTGTAATATCTTCTTGGTTCATTGTTCCATTGATCAGAATGGAATGTCCTTCTTTATCTCTTCTGATTAATTTTAGTTTGAAGTCTATTTCATCAGCTATTAGGATGGCATCACCTGCTTGCTTCCTGGTCCCATTTGCTTGGAATATTTTTTTCCCATCATGTCACTGTAAGGATAGTGCCTGTCCTTAAAGGTAAAATGAATTTCTTACCTTTAAGATAGGCACCATGTTTCTTATAGAAAACAAAAAGACGAATTTTGTATCTTAATCTTTTTCATTAACGTATGTCTTTTGATGGAGGGAGTTAAGGCCATTAGTATTTAAAGTTAATATTGAAAGATAAGTGATATTTTCTGTCATTTTGTTTTTCTTTTGCTGTTTGTGTTCTCAGTGCTATTTATTGTGCTTCAGTAATTATAGCTTCATTTGTTTTCTTTCTGTAGCTTCTTAGCTATGTTTATTCTTCCCTTCTGACCAGAGTATTGCTTCCAGTATTCTCTGTAGGGCTAATTTAGTAGACATGACTTTACATCTTTTAGCCTGTGTATATCATGGAAAGTTTTTCTTTCTTCTTCAACTATGACAGATAGTTTTGCTGGGTAAAGTAGTCTGGGCTGGCATGTGTGGTCTTTTAGAACTTGAAGTACATTGCTCCAGGATCTTCTGGCTTTTAAAGTTTTCGGGTCAGCTGTGGTTTTTTTCTCTTGCAGCTTTCAATACCCTCCCTTTGTTCTGCATATTTAGTGTTTTCTTGGACTTCACTCAGGAGTTTATTCCTATCATCTTTGAGTTCATTGAGGTGTTTGTTCCTGTCTTCTTTACACTCTAATTCTTTGAGAGTGTTTATGATTGCTCTTTTAAATTCTGTGTCCTGGGTTTCATCTAAGTAAATCTCACTGTGGAACATTTCTATAGAACTAGTGGATTCAAGGAGTCACATATTTTCTTGGCTTTTCATATTGTTCGTATTTTTACACCGTGACCTGAGCATATGGACTTCTTTTGCTGGTTATATACCTGATGTGAGATTCTAGTCTGCCTCTATTGAGTGGAAGTTTGGTTCAGTTTTTGTTGTTGTCCAACCTTGGTACATTTCAGATCAGGTATGGAGAGTTGGTAGGTCAGTCCTTCAGATACTCCGTGTTGAGTTTTGTTGTTGTTGTTGTTGTTGTTTTGTTGTTTTCAGTGTTGAGTTTTAATAGGAGGTTTAGGGGCTCATGCACAGTGTGAGGACAGCAGCATGGGTGGGCGAGGTTCTGGAGAACTCGCGAGGCTGGGCTGGTGCGTGAGTGGTGCAACCTGAACTAGGCTTGAGAGTTACAAGCATTTTGGTTTTTTGTTTTAGGTTTTTTGAGGCAGGGGCAGGGAATTGTAGCCCCTGTAGCTGATCTGGAGCTTGCTATGTAGACTGGCCTCCATCTCACAAAGATCTGCCTGCCTCTGCTGCCTGAGTGCTGGGACTAAAGGCATGCACTATCACACCTGTCTTACAAGCATTGTTTTTAAACTTTTTTTTAAGGAATGTATGAATTTTCCATTAACCTCTCCTGATTCTTCCATTTGTAGCTGTGTGTCTCTCATACACATGGAGTTATCCCAGTATTTCTTGAATCTGGTCACATTTTTAACCAGTTTGTATATCTCTATTCACTTTCAGAAAATTCAAAATTATCCAGGCTAGGACTATATTGATTTTTTTCTCTCTCTCTTTCTCTGACAGATTTGAGATCGAAATTGAGCCTCTGTTTGCCAGCATTGCCCTCTATGATGTTAAAGAAAGGAAAAAGGTACAAAAACAAAATTAACCCATTCCTAATGAACACATTGTGCTCATGGTTCTTTGTATTCATTTTAAAATATTTTATTTATTATTTTTGTGTGTGAATGTATTGCCTGCATGTACATAAGTCACCCTGTATCATGCAATGCCCCTGGAGGTCAGAAGAGGGTGTCGGTTTCCCCTGGAACTGTAATTACAGACGGTTGCTAGCCACCATGTGGGTGCTAGGAATCAAACCCAGGTCCTCTGCAAAAGCAGTCAGTACATTTAACTGCTGAGCCATTTCTCCAGCCCCTAGGTTCATGTTCTATAAGAACATCTTACTAGCTGGCCACCACACCCATGAGGGTTCATGTTTTAAATTTCACTTCTGTGTAGCAATAAAGCACATCAGATTTTTTTTTTTATGTGGATATGTGTGTGTGTGAGATGTGTGGATATGTGTGTATGCATGTCTGCATATGTGTGCAGGTTATGTGTGCGTGTACAGTGCATGTGTGGGTGTGGGTGTACCCAAAGTTTATGTCAAGTCTCTTCCTTGATTGCTTTCCATATTATTCATTGAGATAGCATCTCTTATTTGAACCCAGAGCTTGCCGATTGGGACAGTCCCACTAGCCAGATTGCTCCAGGGATTCCTGCCTCCACCCTCCAGATGCCTGAGTTGCAAGCACCTTCTGTGCCCACCTGGCATTATGTGGGTCCTTATGCTTGTGTGGCAAGTGCTTTGCCTGTTGAGCCATCTCCCCAACATGTATATCAGATTTGGAAGCAAATGAATGTTGATGGCACTAGGTCTTATGCCTTTCCAGTTTTTGAAGAAATAATCTAGAAATTTTAGTCATTTGTGTGTGCTCTTTGAAAATTCTTTAAGGGAAAGGCTTTCTGGAGGCAATGCTAGTTGCATAGAGAAAGAAATAAAATACTTTAGGTTATAATAAAAATAAAATAATGTGAAGTTTTTAAAAAAGTCCAGATAGTCATGTAAGGTTTTCCTTTTTTTTTTTGGTCCTGTGAAATAGGTTTATTGTGAGGCTGGGGAGATGGCTCAGTGGGTAAGAGCATTTACTGAGTTTGAATCCTCAGCACTACATAAAAAACCAGGCATTACTGTATGTACCTGTATCCTCAGGATTGGGGAACAGAAACAAGCTGATCCCCAGAGCTTGCTGGACAGCCAGACTAGCTGAACCTGTGAGCTTCCAGTTCAGTGAGGGGAGGGGAGGGAAGGAGAGAGGGGAGAAAAAAAAAGAAAGAAAGAAGAAAGAAAGAAAGAAAGAAAGAAAGAAAGAAAGAAAGAGAAAGAAAGAAAGAAGGAAAGAAAGAAGGAAGGGAAAGAAAGGGAGAAATAGATCCATGACAAGTGGCAGATATCATGCTTAGCAAAGAGGGTTTTAATGCTCCTGCAGAGGAGCCAGGTTCAGTTCCAGTAGTTTAGACAAAAAGATGGCAACCATGATTCTGCCATCCTTTATCCATAATCTTTTTGTATTGAAGGATGTGCAGCTCTGGGATAAATGTTAACAACCTATGAGATTTGTATTAGTTAAGGGAAGTTAACTGTTAACAGATAAGCTCTCAAATATAGTATTCTAAGGCAGTAGCTTCCAGGACTAGAGAGATGGTTCAGCAGTTAAGACTGCATGCACTGCAATCATGCAGACTAGAGTTTGGATCCTGCACCAATGTAACAAGCCAGGCATCCTTGTAAAGGCCTGTAACCCCAGCTTTAAAGCAGGTGGGCAAAATGAGACTTCTGGAGCTTCCTGCCTTCCAGCCTAAATGAGAAAACATGAGCCCCAGGTTCAGGGATGAGACCCTGTCACCAAAAAATAGGGGAGAAAAATGAGGATAAAGGATGACACCTTCTTCTGCCCCCCCAGGGACACACAGACACTCACATGCCCACACACACATAAATGAACAGAATAAATCATTTTTGAAAAGCAGTAATGGGGCTGGAGAGATGGCTGCTCAGTGGTTAAGAGCACTGGCTGCTCCTGTAGAGGAGCCAGGTTCTGTTCCAGCACCCACAAGGCAGCTAACAACCATCTGTAACTCTAGTTCCAGGGGGATCTAACACCTTCTTCTGGCCTCTGGGCATTGTATGCACAGGTATACTTACATATAAAACTTTCATATACATAAAATATAAATAAATATAAAAATAAAAAGCAGTAGTTCTCAAACTTGAGTGTGCAGAGAATCATCTGGAAGACTTGGTCAAACACAGGTTGCAAGGCTCCATCCCCAGGATTTCTGACCCTGTAAGTCTATGGCGTCTGAATTTTCATTTGTAACAGGTTTCTTGATGAAGCTGAAGCTACTGGTTAGGGTACTTCAGTTTGAAAATCATTGGCTTCCAGAATAAGAAGTTACTTTCTTTGTTTCTTAACAGTCCAAAGTGGTATGAGGTAAGTGACAGGCCACTAGTGCCTCTGCTCCACACAGTCAATCAGGAAGCCAGGCTGGTAGAAGTGCCTCTATCCTCAAAATGTGCTCTTTCCAGTCACTCCTGTCATTGCCGTTGATGTCCCTAATAAAGGAAAAGATGCGTGGAGGAGGCCTGGCATATCACTTCTCACAATTCATTGGAAAAAATTTGGTCACATAATCACCTCAACTCCATATGCAAGGGCTGTTACCTGTAGTCTCTGCCTAAACTGCCACTTCTTACTAAATCACTCTTAACAACTAAGGGAAGAACCCAATAAGGGCTGTCACAGAACCCTAAATTAGAAAGTCAGGGAGCACTGATCATGCCATACTCAGGATACTTAACGGTGCTGCAGTACCTACAACTGTCCCTACCTGCAATTAGCAATCTCTTTAGCACACATGCCAGGATGATTCTCATCCACCTCCCCTCATCACTGATGCAGAATCACGCTGAACTGCTCACTGTTCACTAGGCTCACTCGGGTCTTCTAGCCTGAGATACTTATCTGTGCTGGGCTCTCTTCCCTGTCCCTTCCAGCTCTACCTGTGGAAATCCATCACCTGTTGCAAAGGTCTCTTCCATGTAAAGCTTTCCTGGTGATCCCAAGTATCTCATACCTTCTAGAACTTCTGTGTTTGCATATGGTGATTTAATTTGCTTTTATTCTAGTTTGTTGTGTGTTGAGTTTTCCTGCATTCTTTTTATTTTTAGATAGGGTCTTCTTGTAGCCCCAGCTAGCCTGGAACTTTTTATGTAGACCAGGCTGGCTTTGATCTCACAGAGATCCTCCTGCCTCTGCCTCCTGAGTACTGGGATTAAAGGCATGTGCCACCATGCCTGACTTTTCCAGCATTCTTGGTTATAAACTAAAGTGGCAGAGGCCATGTCCTCCTATTATTCAGTGTAATATCTAGCACTTCCCTCATGCTCAGGAGATAATGGTGAATCAATAAAAATTTAAATGTTTCTCTCTCGAATGACTCCAGAATATTTAGAAGTTGTGACAGAATATTGATCAGACTTTCCAGTAGCCACTAGTCACCCACCATGTCTATGGTTACACTTTTCTTCACAAAATTTCTTTGCTACTTTTCACTCTAAGTATTTTTAGGCCAAGAATACAACAGATCTAATTTATTTTGCCTTTTACTGCCCATTTACAGATCTCAGAAAATTTTCACTGTGACCTGAACTCTGACCAGTTCAAAGGATTTCTGCGAGCTCACACACCCTCAGTTGACCCATCGAGTCAGGCAAGATCTGCGGTGTTCTCGGTCACCTACCCATCCTCAGACATCTATCTGGTAGTCAAGGTAGTTACACATAATTCAAGCTTTGTGTTCTGATGCTTGCATTGTTGCATTATTCCATCACAGGTGAGGGCTAAAGGAAACCATAGAATGTGTCTGCATGTCCCCAGTGATATTTGAGTTGCTTCTCAACTTAGCCCTTTTCCCTTACAAGTAACTTCTGTTTGGTACTCTAGAAAGACTAGGAGTCAGGGAGTCCTGTGGTCCTAGGTTTGAATCCTGACTTTGCACTTGTAACTATATGACTTTCTAAGACTTAGACTTTCTGAGACTTAGTTTCCACATTTGTCACCTCATGAGGATCACACTGACCTCCACAAGTAGTTGGACCTACAGCTAAAGCCTTGCCCTTCCTAACTAAGGAAAATGTCCTCAGCAATCTAGGTCTGGGAGGTTGCTATGGAGAAAGGAATAAAATCTCATAGTCATCAACAGTGCTCTTGTTTTTCTAGGATGCACAGGGCAGCATTCCTGAGTCCAGTCTCTGACAACCTGAGGCTTCCAAGTTTCATTCTCCTTTCAGCATCATTTCCTAGACTCTGTCTAGTCAGAGTCAAAAATCTGTGGGGCTATTTAAGTCGAACCACATTTCATTGGAGATTGTCCTCTTTGCTAACATTAGGAAACTGGAGCCTTTCTTTCTGTACTAAAGTAATCAGAAATTAACAACAAACAAAGGGCATTTAACCAACCTCAAACTGAATAATTGCACTCATTGACTCTGTAAGTCAAAATTTAGAGACAATTCAAAACACTGAATCCAAGTGCCTGATCTCATGTGCCTTCCACCTTCTGGTTTTGAACATCCCCCAGTTTGCCTGGTATCCTTTGTCTGTAATCTCGTTGATCCGTGTGTGGTCTAATTAGTAGTAGTGTAAAGGTTTCAAGGAATTCAGATGGCTTGGAGGTCACTTCCTTTGCATCATTTCACAAAGATTACTATAGCTTGAAGGGAGCTTGTTCAGTTTCTGGACCTATAGTTTAAAATCTTTTGATAGAGGGCTGGAGAGATGGTTCAGCAGTTAAGAACACTGGCTGCTCTTACAGAGGTCTGGAATTCAGTTCCCAGTACTCATATCAGGTAGCTTACAACCACCTGTAACTCCAGTTCTAGAGTATACAATGCTGTCTTCTGGCCTCTGTGGGCGCCTATATACATGTGGTGCACATACAAACATGCAGGTACACACATACACATCAATAAAAATGAACATAAGTCTTTTAAAAAATCTATTTCATGGAGTGAGAGGTGTAGCTCAGTGGTAGAGCACCAGCCTAAATGTTCCAGATCTTGGGTTCCATTTTGAGGAACAGAAAAAAGAAAAGGGAATTAAAAGAAAATACATCTTTGCATATCTACTGCTGTTGTGAAATTGCACGTCCTTCTCATTGGGGGTTCCTTAAACATACAGGACAGTTATCTTAAATTCCACTATAGTAGCCCTATTGTTAAGTTTACAAGCCTCTAAGACTGGAAAACCAGTAAAACCAACACCAGTTCTACAGAATTAAATTTGGGGCTGGAGAGATGGCTCAGCAGCTAAGAGCATTGGCTGTTCTCGCAGAGGATCTGGGTTTGAATCCCAGCACCCACACAGTGGCTAACAACCATCTGTAACTCCAGTTGACAGGGGTAGCTGTGAACACTGTGCACAACATGGGCACACTTCCACATATGCAGGCATAACATATGCATAAAATAAAAATAAATCAAAAACTTAAAAAAAACTTATTTCAAACTCTGCTTCTCGATAAGTGATTTTATTTTGATTAACTGACAATCTACCAACTGGTAATCTATTGGTTGTACCACTAAGTAGATTTCTAAACTTCTGAGTATAGACTTGGACATATTTGAAACTAACAAACACATTCTAAATTGTCTGGATATAATTAAGAAATTTAAATCTGGGGGCTGGAGAGATGGCTCAGTGGATAAAAGAACTAGCTGCTCTTGCAGAAGACTCAGGTTTGAATCCCATCACTCACATAGTGGCTAACAACCATCCCCAACTCCAGGTCCAGGGAATCCAAACACTTCCTCTGTCCTCCACAGGCACTACACAACACAAGTGCACTTACATACATGCAGGCGTAACACTCATACACATAAAATAAAAATAAATAATTTATTTTTAAAAAAGAAATTTAAATCTGCACTGGAATGCAATCTTGGTTTGGTTTCTATTTGTCTTAGCTATAAGGCCATTGTTATTGCTGCTTCCCCTTAAATACATAGTAAATAGTGTTGTAATACTTAAACCATCCAGGCAGATGTCATGTGATTAAGAGGGGCTTCTTGCTTTCTTATTTTTATTCCCAAGTCGAGCATCAGATTCTTAAATGTGTTTCAGGAAGAGTCACCTAATTCAGCTATTGAATATAATATTACTTCAAGGGATTATTTCAGGCTTAAAGGTTTAGTTCAATCTTTATGAGCACATGGAAGGATTTGTTTCACAAGTAAGGATTGGAAAGTGAAGATGGAAGTGAACCTCACGCTTTAAAAAAAAAAAAAAAGTTTAAAAAAAGAAAAGTCAGAAATTAAACCCACCTCTCCTGAATGGAACAGAGGTCAGCTTCTTAAGAGTTCCAGCTGTTCCTAATGTGCCCTCCCACAATGCTTGTGAAGACTTCCTCAGGGGTTTCAGTACAAGCATGCTTTCAAGTCATCCAGGAAGGACCCTGCAGTGGGTGCTCATGTCAGTCTGCAGCTCCTTCTCATGAAGCACCTGAGGTCACTCTGGCCACAAAGGAGGCAGTAGCTCCTAGTGCTATCAAATCTAGAATCTCTTGCTTCTAGATTCCAGGGAGCCTTTCCATGGATTTCAAGCCATTCCTTGCTACAGAGTTCTGAGATTCTTATATGAACTCTTTTCTTCTTTTTTTCGTTTTCTTTCCTTCCTCCCTCCCTCCCTCCTTTCTTTCCTTCTCTCTTTCTTCTGTGCTGGTGATGGAACCTGTAGCCTTGCAAGTAGTAAGCAAGTGCCCCAGCCGTGAAAGATTCTTAGTCTCACTCTACTCAAGGTTTATTTTAAAGACCATGTTTTTATTCATTGAATCCGTGGAAAAGTTGACTTCTTTTCAGTTTGTTCTACTGGAATCTGATTGCGAACTTCAGGAGAATAAGAGCCAGGTTTATGGTGTTCACACCTAATCTCCCTAGCAGTCATCACAGTGCAGACTCTTTGAGTGAATGAATGACTGAATGAATAAATGATCAGGGACACTGGTCAGTTTCTAGCTCAAGTCCTATGTGTCTGTGTTTCCAAGGTGTTGCCATCTCTCAGTGGTCCAGTTCTCTCTTTATGCCATGGCAATGGATGAGCCTTTAAATTCTTTTTGTGAAGAGACTTTCTGCTTGGACTAACTCTCAGAAACGGTGTTCATTGAGCAGCCCTATGAAACCCCATTGAACACTCTTCCGTCAGTAGGATATTCAGGTTTAAATAGTTTTTGCCTTACTTACAGCACTGCCTATTAAGCATGTGTGCCCATGGGCTATGTTGGCCCAGAGTTCTTCCTCGGGATTCACCTCAACACAGGCTAATGGAACTGTTTCATTAATATCTAAGTTCAGTTCAGTTTTCTTTGAGTAGAGAATTTTCAATTTTCAAATTTCTCCGTTTATTTTTCCTAAACATGGTGCCATATTTATTATAATTGGTCACTAGCTCCTTCACTTAAAGCAAACAGAAGACACTTGACAGTATTAGCCTTCATTAACAAATTTAGAAGATGCAGTCTCAAGTGATCTGCCTGCCTCTGCCTCCTGAGTGCCAGGATTAAAGGGATGAATGGCCTTTGAATTTATTTCTAAATCTGTTAAATCCAGAGAAGCAGCCCTAACAGGAAATCCAAGGGACACAATTACAGCTGATTTATTGTTTATTCATTCATTTTGTGGAAGGTTTTAGTCCCAACCTGACTTTTACAGAGACCATCTCTCCTTTGATCTTTGCAAACAATAATAAGGAAAATGAGCTTTTCCCTTCCTATATGTGTTTCCCAGGTTATGTTTTATAAAATAACTTGTATTGCATTTTATTATGCTTATAATACACGTTTATTGTTTTAGAAATAGAAACTTCTCATCAGCAATCAGAAGAAAATAAAAAAAATCACAGAATCCCACATCTGATAATAACCACTGTTACCGTTTGCTGTTATCTTTTTAATATGACTTTGTGGAATTTTTTCTTTTTCTGAAACTGTGTAGAATTCTTCATACTATATTTTTGTTTTGTTTTGTTTTTTGAAACAGAGTCTCCCAGTAGCCCCAGTTGGCCTGGAACTTGATATGCGATCCAGGTTGGCCTCCATCTCACAGAGAGCTGCTTGGCTTTGCCAGCTTCGTATTATATTATTTTTAAATCAGAAAGCACATATAATCGGCATCCTTTTCATCAAATATTGTCATTAAGCATAATTTTGAGGATTACGTGGCTCCCAGTATATGACTATAATTTGCTCACTTTATTTTAATGTTATTTTTGTTGGTAGATTGAAAAAGTCCTCCAGCAGGGAGAAATTACAGACTGTGCAGAACCATACATGGTCATCAAGGAAAGTGATGGTGGAAAGGTATGGTCATTTAAGTACTACTGACACCTTAGAATAAGTATATTTTCAGAAGTGCTCAGCAAAATAGTTAATGGAGTTTAGACTATCATATTTTCCCTTATAAAATATGAAAATTGGATTTAAATGAAAAAGGAAGGAGAAACCAGTTACTGAGAATAATAATATTTAAAATATTTTAAAGATTCTTTAAATTATTTAAAATATACTTTAAATATTTTAAATAATCTTTAAAATATTTTCATTATTTATTTTTATGTGTGTGTTTCCCCTGCATGTATTAAGTGCACCCATACATGCAGTGCCTACAAAGGCCAGAAGAGGGCATCAGACCCCCTGGAACTGAAGTTACTGATGGTTGTTAGCTGCCTTGTGGGTGCTGGGAACCAAACCCAGGTCCTCTGTAAAAACAGCCAGTGCTCTTAACTACTGAGCCATCTCTCCAACCCCTGATAATAATCTTTTAAAGGGATAAATGACTGAACACATTAATGATGCCACACATTACTGTGTGACTGAAATCTGGCTCCTACCAAGTCTGTTGCCTTGATTCTGATGCTCTGACTATAAGTGAATTGGGATGGTCGCCGAGGACCTATAAGCAGCAGGCCAGAGTTCTTCTGACCCTCCTCAGCAGCATGGGGTGTTGTCCTGTGCAGTGTTGGTAACTGACAACCAGCTGCAGCTTCAGCGCGTCATAAAATATCACATTATAGGTCCTGAGCCATGTAAAAGGCTTTTCTCAACACCAATTTGCAAAAGTTCCCAGTACAGCTTTTAAAACCAGGCCTTTCTGGAAAATGGTTTCCCTAATAAATATTGTAAGTTTCAAATAAAATTGATTGGACACAAGGCACTGGTGTTTTAAAATTTGTTAGTCTGAATTTAGAAGGAACTGCTTGGCTATGTTGTCAACAAAGAAGTTGTTAGGAATATTTATGGATCTTCTTAGAATTTCAAGGTAACTTTTGTGAAGTAGATTCTCTTGGAATTTTGATAGATGACATACTAACATTTCTTCCCTAAGTTTCTCTCAAGAGAATTCTGGTCATCTAGCTGGACCTAAAAGAAGTGTTTGCAAATTGACTGGTGTAACAAGCCTAGGATATTTCTTTTCTTGATAGAAAGTGTTGTTTGCTAATTGATTAATGTAGCCTGTTAAAAAGTTCTTTCTTTTAGCCGGGCGTGGTGGTGCACGCCTTTAATCTCAGCACTTGGGAGGCAGAGGCAGGAGGATCTCTGTGAGTTCAAGGCCAGCCTGGTCCACATAGTTCCAGGACAGCTGGGGCTACAGGGAGACCCTGTCTCAAAAAGACCGAAAAAAAGTTCTTCCTTTTAGAATCTTTGCTTCCTTATCAGCATGGCTTGTAGCCGGAGCGGATGACTTTGCAGCTGATTCACCTTACCCCCATCAGTGTAGTCACTGTTCTTTTGATTGAGCTGCTGACTTGGTGCTGGTGGTCTTTTGTTGGTTTCATCTTGTCTCCTTCTGTCTTCCTCCAGAGTAAAGAAAAGGTTGAGAAACTAAAACTTCAAGCTGAATCCTTCTGCCAACGTTTGGGGAAATACCGGATGCCCTTTGCCTGGGCCCCCATTAGCTTAGCAAGCTTCTTCAATGTCTCCACCCTTGAGAGGGAGGGAGTTGATATGGAGCCTATGCTTGGTAAGAATTCAGGCTGCCCTGGAAATAAGGGGGAATTCCAGTATATCAACTGTGCAGTTATTTCATTAGTAAGGGCTTGAGAGGGCAAAAGCGTGGGGGGGTGGGAAAGAAGAAGGTCATAAATAGAATGACTGAATTATGTGTGTTTGATCAGACAGTAACCCCCCCAAAACAATTACCATGAGTGTCTATGAAGCTTTAAATATACTTTTATATTAAGAACTTTGGATAGTATTTTAAGGCTTTAAAAAGTTAATTTTCAGAGCTAGGTGTGGTGGTGCATGCCTTTAATCCCAGTGCTAGGGAGCCAGAGGCAGGCAGATCTCTGAGATTGAAGCCAGCCTGATCTACATGGTGAGTTCCAGGATACCTGGGGCCACAAGGAGAGCCTGTCTCAAAAAGAACCACCCCCCAAAAAAGTTAATTTTCAGTAGCCATCCCATCTCAAATTTTAAAATGCTTGAAAATAATAAGAAAAGGACACCATGGTCAGCTCCCAAACAAAAGCACAATCACTGTTACAAAGCTTTGAAAAACAAAGCTTGAGTTTCTCAGCAGCATTTCCTGTCTCTTAAAGTTTATTTTGCCGATACATTCCTTAGCCCATCACTTCTGAAACGCTGCCTTTTACAGGGGGTTTAGGTGAGGGTATCTGTTACAGTCCTGGCTGTGGCGAAGTTACTGTTTCCTAATTGCAGGTCAAAACTCTTGCTTTATTTCTGATTTGTCAGTAACAAACTTCACCCATTCTGACCTTCACACCACAGTTTTTCTAACAAGGCTATTCTGTGTATGGCTTTATTTGAAGTGTGGGGCACTTAGAAGGCACTGGAAGCCAAAGCAAATCAACACAGGGTCTTTGAAACCTCAGTTAGGTCTAAATCCGAGATAGCTTAACCTGACCTCTGAAGCTGATTCCTAAGAAGCAACCCGAGACTCCAGGCATCATGCCGAGTTTAGGTGGCAATGGTAGCTCTCATTCAACATCATCTTAAGATTCAGGCATAAGAGAACTTCCAAAGCAGAAGTTGTAACTGTACATTCTAAGGCAGTTCAACTATTCATAACAAAATGCCTAGATTTTTCAGAATAAAAGATGTGAGATCTCTACCTCTTCAAAAGAGACAAGTGACTAAGGAGTTTCAGGATCCCAACCCTGTCTAATTACCATTAAAAAGGTCAGCCAAGGCAGAAACTCAGCTCTGTAGCCTGGTGCACATTAGAACCAAAATGTGCACAAACTGACCCTACCTAGTTTGGGTCACAATCCCCAGTTGGGGGTTGAGGGGTTGGTGGGGGGTATGTAAGCACATGCCTCTCCCAATGGAACACAAATGTAAAAGTAAAGCAAAGCAAACAATGGGCTAAGTAAGCTTATCAGAAGACCCTGCACTTGCTGAGCTCTAGCAGGGTGACATCTGGTAGGCTCTGGTCTCCAGTGGAAAGGACTTAAAGCCACATGGGGGTTCTCTATTCTGGTGAGGGTATTCGGACCTTCAGGAGGTAGGACTCCATAGAGGGAAAATACAAGGATGGCTGGGTTCAGCAACTTTAACTATATCTTAAATATGGTTAAGTTAGTAACTGCTGTGTGTTTAAACAGCGAGATATACATTACATTAGAATGACAGTTGTTTTCCTTAAAGGGAGAAACTCTGTGAGTGAGCGGAGGACTTTGTCCCAATCTAGGCGGCTTTCTGAGCGAACCCTCTCCTTAGAGGAAAATGGAGTTGGATCCAGCTTCAAGCCCACCACCCTGGCCACTAACGTCTTCTTCAAGCAGGTATCTGCATTACAGAGAATCTGAATTCATCTTGCATTGGCATGGTTGCTGGAGCAAATTAATTAGCCTCATGTGCCCTGCTGGATTGTTACAAGGATTAGAGGACATGCAGGCATGCCCCTGGCTAGACAGCTGTCCTGTAGCAGAGGGTAGCACTTATGCCTATCTTCGTTACTCAAGATAAATGTGAAGACAATGAAATAAAGATTCTTTGCCCATCTCCAGATCTTTGAGGAAGCAAGGTCCTTCCACATTGTTTCAGGAGTACAACAAGCTTCAATGGGTTGCTTATTACGAGGCAGAAGTCTAGGGTCTCAATTCCTCAGGGTCAGACAGGCTACCCTGGAAAGCAATACAAGTCCTGACTCCAGTAAGGCTGATGAGAGGTTGGCCAGCTTAGAATGTTGGACAGCAGCAGTTGAACTAAGTGATTTCAGAGTTGCTTGTCGTACTAATTTCTATGAAAGACTTATTAGAATCAAAAAGGTAAGCCAAGTATAGTGATTTTCAGAAGACTGTGGCAGGAGGATTTCAAATGTGAGGCTAGCCCGAGCCCCTGTTTCAGGAGATAGAAAAGGGGGCACAGAGGAAGGGAAAGAAAAGTAAAGAAAGAAAGAAGAGAGAAAGAACAACAAAGCTTTCAGGGCGCAATCTTAGAAATACCTGGTCTCAGGAGTCAGTAGTACATGTCCACTAACCTGCCTGTTCTCTTGGCAGGAGGGAGATCGCCTTAGTGATGAAGACTTATTCAAGTTTTTAGCCGACTACAAGAGGTCATCATCCTTACAGAGAAGGGTCAAATCCATCCCAGGTAAGGTTGCTTTGCCTTTATCCTCTTGAGGTATGCCCTAATTTGTGATTAGACATTCCTTGTCTGAGGCTATGTTTATTAAACAGTTTGCCAAGGGCAATGGGGGATTTCGCATTTGAAGTTAAGAAATCCAAATTGGTCTACATTTTTGACAAATCTGTTAATGCTCTCTCTTTTTCATATTCTTTAAATGCTTTATTTTATTCTAAAATGCTTTAGACTCGATTTCTCAGACAATTGGATAATCATTTGAACAGGTGAGCATCCCTTTCATCACTCAAAGTACATGGCATCCCCAATATTAAAAAGTAGCTGGGCATGGTGGCCCATGCCCTTAATCCCAGTACTTGAGAGGCAGAGACAGGCAGATCTCTGAGAGATGGGGGCCATCCTGGTCTACAAAGGAAGTTCCAGGCCAGCTAGGGTTACAGGGAAACCTTGTCTCAAAAATTAAAAAATTTAAAAAATTTTTTTTAAAAAGTGAGCATGAGATACTTTGGTAGAAGGTGAAGACAGTTTCCTTATCCGCAGACAACAGCACACATGGTACTTCTGAGCACCAGGGAACTCAGCCCCAAACCCACCAACTTCTATTGCTACTAATGCCTGGAAGTTACTTAACCGTGTATTATTGTGGTATGGTAGACCTGGAAGAATCTTCACTGACCTAATCCATTGCTACTTACTTTATAACTTTTTGCTCTTCATTTTCTAGAATGCTGACCTCAAAAGTTATCATAACACAGGAAATTAGCTGAGAACTCCAAAACTCTTAAACACCCATGTCTTGTCCTTAGTCTCGTAAGAGAAAACAAGCACAGTAATCCTGGGACCCCTCTTAACAGCTTCTTTATTGAAGCCCTCCTGTGGCTCATTTCAGGTTCCCTCAGACTGGAGATCTCCCCAGCTCCCGAGGTGATCAACTGCTGCCTGACGCCTGAGATGCTGCCTGTGAGACCCTTCCCTGAAAACCGGACACGCCCACACAAGGAGATTTTGGAATTTCCAATTCGGGAAGTGTATGTCCCTCACACCGTGTACAGGTGAGAATCGCAGACTCTTGTTTGGATAATGCCTTCCTCCACAGCCAGCCTCTCTTCCTACTTCCTAAATTTTGACAAAAATTAAATGTGATTGTTATGCTATTGTGGATGTGAGATCTCTTTCTAAAAATGGTTTGTCTTTGTAACAAGAAAGTGTTTCTTCAGTCATAATTGTAATTTAGATTATATTATATATGTTCTTACCAGAAATGAAGACAACAGTTACCTTGATTTTCTTCTGTGCAGAAGGACATTAAGGAAAAGAGTAATGTGACTCAAATGTCTTAGTCATCTAAATTACAGGTTTTAGATAGACATGGTCGCACAGGCCTGTAATTCCAGCACTCAGGAGGCTGAGGCAAGAGAATTGCAAGTTGGAGGTCAGCTTGGGCCACATACCAGATTCCAGACCAGCCTGGATTACAGACTGAGACCCTATTTCAAACAAAACAAAACACAGGTTTTCAGCTCAAGACCAGCTCTGTCCAAGAAAATTCGTAGCAATGAAAAAAATATTCCCTGTGTGCCGCCCAGTATAATGTCTACCAGCTTCCTCAGCTCTTGTTTATTCAGGGAGTACAAAGGAGGAGATCAATTTTAATCTTACCTAGTTTCAATTAATGCAAGCATAAGTAACATGATTGGCGGCTACCATTACGCCATCACAAAGAACAAGATACCAAAAGCCTGAAAGTGAAGTTTCTTTGGTTTCTAAGTGGCCTTGTGCCCCCTGATCCTCTCAGGGACTGGGAAGGAGCATTTGTCGGCACACACAGTTGGTGTGCTCATGTGCTTTTGTTTATTTTGAGAGATTTTTTTTTCTTTTGAAATTCAGGAAAGAATGCTATATCAAGCACACAGATTTCCCCCCAACTTCATCCTCCCCAAAGCAGCTTATCATTTCTGTCCTCATTTCTTAAATGGCTCAAGTCTCCTGCCTAGATAAGCTAAATATTTGTAGAAAGTAGTGACTCAATTCTCAACTCCTTGGAGGAAGATGAAGCATGAAGATGTTTGCTTATAAATACTGGGTCTCTATTTTTGTAGGAACCACATCCTGCAATTGGAAAAAGAAGCTTGTAGCACTGGAATAAGCCTTTATCAAATAAATTCTATAGCTATTCTCAGCATAATCATCCACAGGAGTCATTTACGACTCTTCACTCCTTGCTGCAAACATTACCCTTAATCACATCACAGTGAGATTTGGAATGCATTAGTGCACCGGTTGATTCTGAGTGTGGGAGTACTAGGAGGGCAAACCTGAGCAGGTCACTCTGCACCTAACACAGAACCTGAGAAGCAGGTCCAAGAACGCAGAACAGATGTTCTTTAACTGTACCAAACTCTATAGGAAGTTCAAGGCCACTCCACTAGGATAGGGTCTTCTCTCTTAGGAATGATGGATGGCATCCCTTTCCAGATTGGTGAAGGCACCTTCTCTTGGCTCTAGGACACTGTGCTTAAGGGAAAGGGAGATGTAACAAACTTGACCTAGAATCTTCTTCAAGGAATTTAGAGAGCATTTTGTCTAAACCTCTTGTGGTAAGGTTAAAGTTTTAACGTTTCTTCTCTGGTCTTCATGTGCTTCATGGTGGTTGATTAGAATTTTTGTTTGTTTGTTTGTTTGGTTTTTTGTTTGTATTTTTAAAGCAGCGTCTCCCTGTAGCCCCAGCTGTCCTGGAACTTACTATGTAGACCAGGCTGGCCTTGAACTCACCGAGATCTGCCTGCCTCTGCCTCCCAAGTGCTGGGACTACAGGCGTGTGCCACCACACCGGCTTGTTTGTTTGTTTTTTAATTTTATGTGTATGAGTTTTTTGCCCGCATGTTATGTAAATGTACCTGTGTGTGCAACCCCACAGTGGCCAGATGAAGGTGTCATATCCTCTGCAACTGGAGTTACAGGGACTGTTGTTAGCTGCCATGTAAATGCTGGGAACTGAACATAGGTCCTCTTCAAGAGCAGCCAGTGCTCTTAACCTCTGAGCCATCTCTCCAGCCCCAGTTGGTCGGTTTGTAATCTTCACTGTAAACCCCTTTCCTATCCTCTGTCCTCTTCATACCTGGAAGTGGAAGGAATCAACTCGGTTCTCAAGTCAGATTGTATGCGTATGTATGTGCAAGTCAGAGGACAACCCTAGGTGTTGATTTTCGCTTTCCTTGTTTTGAGGCACAGTTCTCTCTTGTTCTCCACTGTGTACACCAGCTATCTGGCCATGAAAAAGGATTCTCCTTTTTCCACTATCCATCTCACAGTAGGAACAGTGGGATTATAGACAGGCACTACCTTGTCCAGCTTTTACGTGGCTTTAGGGATCCACACTCGTGTCCTCGTGCTTGCTTAGCAAGTACTTCATCTAGTGAGCCATCGCCCCAGACCCAGATTGATAATTTGTCTAAGGCCACTCTCCTTTTCATTTCTGTCAGTTTTCTTCTTTATTTCCTTATCCTGATCATACCTCCAAAAACCTGCAATCCATGGCTTTTCTGTTCCCTTTTTCCTTCAAGTAAAGGATACTTGTTCACACCATGGCATCAACATCAGGTATGGCTTTAACATATCTCTCCCAAGAGTTATATCGTTTGAATAGAAAAGGTTTCCTCTGACTTGAAGAGGAACTCTGGACATCATGAGTTTGGCATATGGGTTGACCTTCCCTGTTGACACTGCTATTTCCATACTGCTCATCCTGGTCACAGGCACAGCAATCCAAGGATATCAAATATATGAGAATGGACATTTAAGAGTGCATCAGTGCCAGGAAAATGATTTTACTAAAGTTTAATCTCAAAAGTGATATTTTACTTAACTTATTAACTACCCAGATTAACTACCCAGGGCCTATGGAGAATAAATCATAATAGAACTTCTCAGGCTTTCTGAACATTGGGTATTCATAAAATGGAAACTTACTCAGATAATTGAGATCATGTTATAGATTGAGACGTGCTAATTCCAGAAATGACTAGGTCTCCTTCATCAGAGACTCTGGTTCTCTAAAATTACATGTAGCCTTCTTGGTGCTGGTGGGAAGGATGGGTGTGGTTTATGATGTCTATGTCCAACCTCTGTAGAGGCACAGACTAGCACCCTCTGAGACAGACCAAGGCTAGCAGCTTTGAGAAGTCACTACAGAATTACAGCAGTTCTGAAAGTGGGAAAATGAGGTTGATAAAAAGGATTATCGAAATCTGAGCTTGGTGTTCCATTGTCCACATCCAGATGTTTTAAAGACTAGCTAGTCACCTAGGAATGCTTTTGAATCAACTCCTCGCTTTATTTTCTATTACCCAACAGTTGACAGTAGAAGTGCCAGCTGCCTTGTGGTAGGAGCAGAACAGAAACAGCAGGAGTTGAGGCCAAGTCCCAGTGAAGCCTTCAAGGGCATCTTATCAGGTGGCTGCCATGGGTGGGGGAGGGGCAGTGTACAAGAGATCACAGGTTCAGAGGTTGTAATGAGCTTGTTAAGCTCCATGTCGTCCCTTTAACTAGTGATTACATTAAAGAAAGCCACATAAAGTGCATTTTCATCTCTCAGCCCAGTCTCCGAAATCTTGTTTGTCTAATTATCAGACTGTTGTGGAAGACTGTGTTTGCTGAGAACAAGTATATCAGTCAGAACATGATTTCTTTGATGGATAATTAGCTGTTTTCAGGCCTCCTCCTGTTCAGCTGAATGTTCTCAGATCAGAAGTCTGATCTGGCCTAACAAGGAGGTGCTACCCAGATCCCTGTGAAGTCTTAAGGAATACTTGCAGCATGCTGTAGAAAAGAAAGGCATAGGATGGGTATAGGGGCTGATCTTGAGTGATCATCAGGTAGATATGATTTAGTGGATAGCATTCTTAGGAAATAAATGAACTCAAAGTAACTGGGGATGAAATGTTTAGGAAGAAATTGGAGCACAGGAGTGTTTTTGAATAGGAGTTGATTTTTTTTCAAGGAAATGGATTTCCAATTTAAACCCAGTTAGCATTATTTCTGGTGTGTATCTTCTCAGTGCTAATGGAGGAGTGTGAGTGTGCAGCACAGTCCAGATTCACCCTGGAGGTCCCCACTCAGGAGGTCTGGTTGCTGTTCTTGGTTAAAAAGTAAAGTTTTCCCCACTACATCCACCCTCAGTTAGGTCCTCTATTGTATGGGGTCATCCAAAAGTCTGTGGTGTCTTAAAAGGCCCATGCCACTTCATCCACTTGACTGGGAAAACAGTCCCAGTGTGCACCTGGATTTGTGCCTCTATCCCAGCAGCAAACCTCTCACATGAGGATGGTGGTCTTTATGCTGTAACACTTCTCAGATACCTGTGTGCTCTCTCCAGCATCCATTATTAAGCAATCTTAGTTATTTATAACAAGTTTATCTCTTGTCTCTTTAAATCCCCATCAAAAGAATGCCTTACTTAAATCTCTGTTAAAAAGCACCTTCCCCTGGGCTGGGTGTGGTGGTGCATGCCATAAACGCAGCACTTGGTGGATCTTTGTGAGTTCAAGGCCAGCCTCGTCTACATAGTGAGTTCCAAGTCAGCCAAGGCTACATAGTGAGACCTTGTCTCAAAACAAAGAAAGCACCTTCCCATTCTTTATTGTTTCTTTAGTTGTTTGAATTTTATTTATTGAGGTATAGGTAACCTCTTCCAAAGCCAAATTTTAAAGATACTAAAGCAGAGAGTGAAATTCTCTACCACTCCTGATTTGCAGCCCCCTGCCCAGTTCCAGTTCCCCTTTTTTAAAACAGCTCATGAGTGTGCATAAAACAATCTGCTTATAAAAGCTTCTGTTCTGCAGAACTACTGCTAAGCCTGCTAAAACCAAGGATTGGACTTCTGGTATTATATCTATTTAGAGAAAAAATTATTATAAAAAATATCGAGGGCCTGTAATAGTTGCAGGCCCTATCCTAGACACTGCAGAAACACCAGTGAGCAAAACAGATGAACAGAGTCAGAGTACATCTCACATCTCAGGCCTATTTGGGGCTGTCTGAGGCAGCTCTCAGT